AAGAGGGATGCGGGACCCAGAGCCCTGGTTGCCGGTGACGAGGCCAGCACCTCCGAGGGACAGGAGGCCCCACAGCGAGCCAGCTCCACGGGCTGGGCGTAGACGTCCCTCCCTCCCCTGGGGGGGCCCTGACCCGGACAAGAGGGCAATGGGCTCTGCAGACGGCGTCCACAGTGGGGCCCGGAGCTTCAGAACTGGCTTGGCATTCGGTGCTATAAACTGCCTGAAGAAAGCAGGTTTGAAAGCTCCCACCCACCTGGGCAGGTTTCAGGAAGGACCTTCTTCTGAGGAATTTCTGTGGCAGGAGGCAGCAGGGCAGCCTGGTACGGGCTCCTGGGGGCACCCCACTGGCTCCTGGGGACACCCCACCGGCACACGCAGGCCACCCACGGCGTGACCCCACTCCCGCCGCTCACCGAATGTGATCGTCCCCTTCTCCTCCTCATCGATGGCTCGAAAGAGGTCGGTCACAGAAAGCTCCGCCACCCCCAGGGCAGTCTTGAGGATGCAGGACAAGGCATCCTCGTCTATGCTGCCGTCCTCTGGGGACCCGTACATCTGCAAGGCGAAGCGGGGTGTCACCTCGAGGCTGCCGCCTCTGCCCGCCAGGGCGGCTCTGGCCCCGCATGCGTCCGGGCTGTCCCCCTTCTCAGAGCTGCCGGGCACCCGCAGGCCAGGCAGCCGGAGGACTCGGACCCTGCTGACCTGGCCCACAGTGCCGGATCAGCAAGTCCACAAGCTCAGCGCGGCCGGAGCCCAGCGGCCGGCCGGAGCTGCCCAACGGAAATGGGAGGAGGGGCCTTCTGCACCACGAGAGGAGCCGGGTTTCAGGCTCCCTCCGCGCTCTCCTGCCTTGGGGGACCCAGGCTAGAGGGCACGTCCACAGACACGAGCAAGCCGCCGACTATCAGCATCCGACGGCTCCAGAGCCCGCAGGGGGAGAGCAGACGCGAGGAGCAGACAAAGACGGCAGAGGGGAGGCGAGGGGCTCCCGCACGGCCAGGGACAGGAGCTCCAGCCTCAGCCTCGGCACCCCCCTCCTGCCCCGATGCTGGGGGTGGCTCCCGGCCCTCCCTGAGCCCAGCCCGGGGCCCGCACCCGCGGCAGCTCCCCGGCCAGGGCTCCCCTCCATGCCTCACACGGACCCTGTGGCCTGGGCACCCACAGGCCCACCCTGCCCTCGGCAGTCCCCCAAGAGGCTCGTCCCGTGGCCCCGCGGCTGCGTGTTCCTTTCTCGCCTCCTCGGTGGGTCCCCTCAGGGCCCGACTCCACCCAGCCCCTCGGTTCCGGCCCCTGGGCTGCCTCAAACCCTCCCGCAGCCCAGCTAGGGGCAACCTGCTGGTGACTGTCCTCCCCACCCCCACCCTCCATCTGCGTCACCCGCACCGTCACCCCGTCCGTTCTCCTTGTCTGGGGCGCGGTGTTCCCGGGGCTCCCCCGACCCTGAGCCCCCCATGGTTCACCTCCTCCCACCACACGCCTGTCTTCTGAGGGTTCCCGCCACGTCCCTGCCTAGACGTGGTCGCCATGCGGGTGTCTGTCCCGCTCTGCAGGCGACGCTGCGCCCTGCACCCGGCCGCGCACCACGCTGCGCTCAGGGGTCTCGCCCGTGAGAAACGCCCGGCAGCTCCTGGGCCTCCCCTCCGTGCGCCTGCCTCCAGCGCCCTCGCGACCCGGGTCTGCACGGGCCGGTTCCGTGAGGCACCTGTCCTCCTGGGCTTTGCCTCCCCAGGGAACCTGTGAGCACCGACGGCTCCCGAATCTTCCCTGGTCTAAACCTCTCTCCTGCTTTGAGCTTTGCCGAATCAAATACCTGCAGGCTAGACCCGCCGTGGCGCGGCTGCAGCCTCAAAGAAGCCAAACCCAAGTCACCTGCCTGGCCCCCCGCCGCCCCAACTCCGGCTCTGCCCCTGGGGTCACGGGACCGCGGCGGCTGCTGCGGGGGTCACGGCAGGTTACTGTGATTTGGAGTTTTGAAAGACGAGAGAACAGGTCGTATTTCTATATTCAGAAACCATTCGGAGGCTGCTGCAGGAGCAAACGCCGGGACTGAGGTCTCGAGTGGGAGGGCGGAGACCTTCGGGTTTTTACTTCCCACCTTTCTGAGTTGTCAGAATTTTTACCAAGGCCACGTCTGAAGGTTTTATACAGTAATAATAATAAAAAAAGAAAGCAAAAACAAGAAACCCCAAAAGTACATTAAACACTGGAGATTTCTACTGGAAGACCCCACGCAGGTGTCTCTGGGATTGTAAGCGCCATGGATATCGCAGGCACGGTTCTGTGCCTCAACCGCCAGCCCAGGAGGGACCCGAAGAGCAACGGGGAGGGTGCGCACATCCTCGCGCGCCCCAGGGGAGGTGCCCAGGGCCAGCGGACGAGGACAGTGGCCAGGCCTTTGGGGACCGGCGACACTGAAAGGCGCAGGCTGCAGGCGGAGACGCGAGGAGGGTGGCCCGAGAGAGAGAGAGAACCGGGCAGATGATGGGGGTGAAGCCCACAGTCAGGACGACGTCACGTCTGCAGAGCGACCTCAGCCGCAGCCGCGGGCAGGACCCGCCTCTCTCGGGGTCACACACGACCACGACCTGTCAGGACGCGGCTGCTCCGCCCGGCAGCCTGTGGGAGGGGTCGCCCGTCCCCAGGGCCACCGCAGGGCGGTGTGTGTTGTCACCCACAGTGGGATCTGCCTGGGAAGACCTGCCGCAGTACGCGCCCCTCCTGTCAGCGGGGACCGGGCGGTCACCGTCCCCTCCAGGGCCGTGTCCTCAGCCTTCCACGGCCGGTCACGCCTGTCTGCAGGTGGTGCCTCAGCGGTGCCAGCTGTGGACGGTCGGGCTCTATGTCCCCTGTTTACGCTGACAAGGAAACCAAGCCTCCCCCACCTGCCATTGTCACTCTACAGACTCTACTCGGTGACTGGGAGCAGGTGCTGGCTGGGGCTGTCTGAGCGGGCGAGGCACGGTCGGCAGCAGGGGGCCGAGAGTCCGCGGGGCCTGGCCCAGGTGAGGCCGGGACCCTCGGAGGTGGGCTTCCCAGGCCTGCAGGAGGCGGGCCAGGCTTTCTCAGATGGGGGCTGCCGGATGTTGGCATCATCCAGTTGGCTCCCCGGCGTTGGACGTGAGCCACCCTTACATGTGGGGACATCCCGGTGTTGCTGTGGGGAGGGTGTGCTGAGGCCAGGCGCGAGAGAAGGGCGTCTCGGAGCAGTGAGACACGCAGCTTCCTGACTCCTCCATCAGGCCCTTGGGAGTCTGGCCAATGTGAGCCACACCTGCCCAGAGAACCTGATGGAACCGTGTCTGGACAGCCAAAGCCGGCCCAGCTCTGCCCCAGTGAGACAAGCCCTGGGGGATTCCCAGGAGTCTTTGGGTGGGCCAGGACCCCAGAGCCACCCCGTGGTGAATGGCCTGGCTCTGGCATGACACACCCTCTGGGTTCAGCTGGGGCGGCAGCTCCTGAGCCCTGCGACAGGCCAATGGGGAGGCCGTGCAGGGGGAGAAGATGAGGCGTGTGGGCCCCCGGTTACATGTGCTGACACTCAGCGTGTGGTGGCGTGACACCCACCAGCCTCGCCCAGGCACCCCGGGACCTGGACGGACCCCAATCTACGTCTTTATCACGAGTGTGGATGCTCATTTCAGAGAGAACGGCCAGCACGTGCTCACGGACAAACAGCACGTGGCAGGTCGTCGGTTTAGCGACACAACAAGCACCTACGAAGCGGATCCCAGGTCTGGTGGGCCGCGTCTCACCATCCCGCGTCAAACCGGGAAACCCGCACTTGCCTTGAATGCCAGCCGGACGGTGTCCAGGGTCTGGGCGGGCCGGCAGACGACAGACAGGGCCACCACGTACTCCCGCAGGTCCATCTTGCCACCGCCGCTCTGTGGGGAGAGACGCGCTCAGTGTTGCCGGCCGGGCGTGACCAAAGGGCCACCTCCAGCCTCCCTGGACGTGCGTCTGCGCGCAAGGTGAGCTGCGGAGAACATCCGTGACCAGCCGGGTTCTCCAAGATCACCGGGCCGTGTGCTTTTTTGGGCCGTTCTCGAACTCTGTGACTCTGCCAGGTGACGCTTCTCAACAAAGCACACGTCAAGTAATGACTGTCACCTGCTGACACCTACGATTTAGAAAAACAGACCAGCGAACACGAAGGCCTGTTTGGGGCTCTGAGCACTTAGGCTGGTTATGGAGACACCAGACTCAGAACGCAGGTGAGCCCAGAGCCGGCGGCCTCCTGCCAGCCCAGTGCGGCAGCCGTGGACCTCGGCCTGCGCTCCGCTGGCGCTCTCAGGACACGCTCGGCCCCCACAGGGCAGGGCGACGCAGCGCCAGGGCCAGGCCAGGGCTGCTGGGGCGGGGGGCTGCACCTCTGAGGGCACAGGGGACGGTCAGGACACACCTGCAGGGCATACCTGGGCCCAGGAAAGGACCACCTGACCAGAGAGCGCACAGCGTGAAGGAGCACCTGCAGCAGAGGGAGGACTCCCCGGGCAGAGATGAGGAGGTGAGGAGCACCCCGGGGCAGAGGGAGGACTCCCTGGGCAGAGATGAGGAGGTGAGGAGCACCCTGGGGCAGAGGGAGGACTCCCTGGGCAGAGATGAGGAGGTGAGGAGGGGCAGAGGGAGGACTCCCTGGGCAGAGATGAGGAGGTGAGGAGCACCCCGGGGGAGAGGGAGGACTTTGACACAGTCATTGCCCCTCCACCCCTGCGTCAACCACAGGCCGTAGGAGTGGGGTTGGGACACACACAGGTCCCTGGGGCTCTTCTCAGGGGACACGGCCACTTTCCCTGCAGTAGCCCCTCAACCGCCCTCAAGGCCTGGGCACAGGGTGGTGCGGGCAGGGGCTGGGCGCAGGCGGGCGGAGTTAGTGTTGACCCAACCACCGTGAGTCCCAGCTCTGGGGGGCACCTGGCCTCTGGCCCTGAGGTCCCGTGTGTAACACAGAGAATACTTTTATCTCCAAAGATCACTGTGAATTTGAAGCAGCAGAAAGTACAAGTTAACACACGCCCTGTCGTATGTCACCTGGGAATGCTACGCGCTGAATCAGCGTCCACTGTTTGGCGTCTGAAACCCGCGCTGTGCAGCGCCGAGGGGAAAGGCGGCCACAGCTGTGGCTCCCACAGACGCCACCTGCACCGAGGCGCGGCTAAGGCTGCCTTCGTGTCAGGGCCCTGCCGCCAGGACGGCTCTGGTCTGAAGTGGGAGCCGCTGGGCTGCGCCACGGCTGCTTCGTCAGGACAGAAGACACCCGTGACTTACAAGCTGGAATCCCACGGGTGCCTGCTGCCTAAGCCGCATCCTCACTTCCCCGTGGCCTAGAGAAGACCACGCTACGGCGGCTCCTTGTTGGTCCCAAGAACACACCATGTCGTTACACAGGACACACTGTGACGTCAACCGGGACATGCCATATTGTCATACAGGACATGCCATGTTATCACATAGGACATACCATATAACATGGGACACACTGTGATGTCATACAGGACATGCCGTGTTGTCACACGGGAAGTGCCATATAACACGGGACACACTGCGATGTCATACAGGACGTGCCGTGTTGTCACACGGGAAGTGCCATATAACACGGGACACACTGCGATGTCATACAGGACGTGCCGTGTTGTCACACGGGACGTGCCATATAACACGGGACACACTGCGATGTCATACAGGACGTGCCGTTTTGTCACACAGGACGTGCCAGGGCTGAAGGAGCCTCCGCACACACCCCTGACGTGTCACGGCCCCTACAGGACCCACAGCTCGCACGTCAATACCGCAACACAAGCACCTAGGCGAGACCAGGCGTGGCGGGTTTCTGGCGGGTGTGGTGGCGCCTGCCCCACCCTGGGCACCGCCCACACCTTCCCGACCCCCCGAGGCCACACACATTTTCAGAGCCACGATGATGCGATGTGACCATTGACAACTCGTCTGGGGATCACGTGTGACTCGAGGACTCTGTGCGCAGGGTGGGGGAGGGGAGAAGTCCTCACACACTGACAGAGGCCGGCGGGGCACCTGTCACCAGATCGCCAAGGAGGGGGCACAGCATTTAGAAGTTCTGGCTGAGCTGGCCAGCGGTGGCCCAGGGAGGGTCCCGTGGGGACCGCAGCGGGGCACAGCCTTTTGGA